CAGAAGCCTGATGGCAGATGAGATTCTGCCGAAACGTTGCTACAACTTTAAAAGCACAACTACAATGACGTGGGAAAATACCCGAACAAAGCTGAATGCCATAATTATATATATATATATATATATATATATATATATATAAATGCTAGAATAGCTATGAAATTCAGTTATATTTTACATAATTAGATTTTGGTTAAAAGAAAGAATTCTGACTTCTTTTTTCATTATACTAATCATTGTTAGAATATGAGTGGTGCCTTGGTCTAGAGTGAAGACATTCGCCTCCTACTCAGAAGGTTGAGAATTCAGTGCTAGGCAGCAACAGATGTTTCTTTATCAGGATGCAAAGAGAAAATATCTGCTGCTAACTCCACATAGGCATCAGGAAGGGCATCCAACCAGTAAACGTTCAGCTCCATTCAGTCACCCTTAGTCCACCCTGATAAAAGGGATTATAGGGTTGTAAAAAAAAATCATTGCTAGAATATAGCCATGGAATCAGAATATAATGAAGTGTTGATTGGTTCAGTATTTCAGAAACTGGCTGAGATTAATAGGTTGTGTTAAGTAAGCAGTTAAGAAGAAAGTATGTTTATTTTTTATTATTAAAAAAACCTAATGAAATGAATATAAAGGCTTAAGATTAATTTCAGATGCATGTTTTATTTACTTTAGATATTGATGAGTGTGCTGATCCTATAAATTGTGTCAATGGCTTTTGTGTAAATACTCCTGGAAGGTATGAATGTAACTGTCCTCCAGATTTCCAGCTGAATCCAACAGGAGTTGGATGTGTTGGTATGTAGAATTACAGATATAATTATTTTATATAAGTGGAGAGGGAAGACTACCATATAGATGTCTATTATAGGAGACAAGTACAAAATGATAACAAATGTTTCATGTTGCAGATGATTCAAATTCATTAAATGTGCTAATCCAGTGGGATTGGCTGGCAAAAAGGTTAATTTCTAAAAGTGAAGCATTGTGTTCAAAGTGGTTCTTGAGGAACAAATTGACAAGTTGGAAAATAGGTTATAAAGCAATTAGAAATAACCATAATTATAGTTTATGACTGCACTGTAATTGAACTTTGGAAAAAAAAATTATTATTCCGCACTTAAAATACTATACATTTGGGTATGTTATATATATTTGTATTATAAACACAGTTTTATTACATGGTGTGTTTTGTGATATGCCTGGTGACTTTACTTGAAAGATAACATATTTTGAGGTTTAGTATCTAGGTTAGGTGAAAAAACAACAACCTGATAGTCATAATCAGTGCTTCATAGCTGTACTTCACTTGTTTATATAAGTCTTCTTAGATTATTCTCTAAAACATTTGTGGAATACCTTTCTAAAACATTTGTGGAATATTGAATTCATCTTCCTACTTCCAAATTATTTCGTTCATGGTGCAGCCATAACTGGTCTACTTTCCCTCTCTATTCTGGTGCTGTTAGAGCTATAGCTAGAAAAACCAAAGACTGTTTTCTTTGGGCTAATTACCCATAGTACTACTTCCAATGGCTATGGAAATTTCTTTTTGATAAATACATGAATACTGAAAATGTAATTTTGATTGAAGGACTTATTGGGAGTGTGCTGGGTGCAAACCGAACTAAGAATTACCCATAGTCATTTTCCAACATTTTGCTGATAAACATAGGCTAATTTATAAAACTTGAACTTTGTTTCATAATTTTATGGAAATAATTAAATGAATTTATTGCATCTTAATATGAATGGAGCACACGAGGGGCTGCAGGAGTAAAATATATCACAGTTTTAATATCATTTCATGAAGATAGCCAGTATTTACAGTATATAAATACTGTAACTATATATTTACTGTGTGTGTATGTGTGTACACATACACAGTAAATAAATATACATATACATACATACGCGTGTGTGTGTGTGTGTGTGTGTGTGTGTGTGTGTGTGTGTGTAAATTATATACTGTAGTATATTTACAGTATAAAATAAATGGAAAATTCATCTATCCATTCATTCTGCCTTTAACTCAGTAAAGAATATTTGTGGTGTTAACAGTCTTATTATGAAATTTTAATTTAATTCAATTGGGTTTTACCTGAAATGATTTCCTAAGTAATAGAGATAAAATTAGAACTGGTTACCATAGTTATATGTTGTTCGTTTTAATTTGTTCACTGCTCTGTACATTGTTGTTTTAAATGACACGCTGATCAACACCTCTTTATTTTCTTTTATTCTATCCAGATAATAGAGTTGGCAACTGTTATTTGAAATATGGACCAAGAGGTGATGGAAGTCTCTCCTGCAGTACTGAAATTGGTGTTGGAGTCAGTCGTTCTTCTTGTTGCTGTTCTTTGGGAAAAGCCTGGGGGAATCCCTGTGAGACATGCCCACCTGTAAATAGCAGTAAGGAAATGCCTCTGTTAGATGGGAGGACAGATAACTAATATAGCAGATAATGTGGCTATATAACATAAGCCATAAGGCTTTCTATAAACCAGTGCTTATGAGGAAACAAACATTTCTCTTAGGTGATACATCAACTTGTCAAAGCTCCTTGCTATGCTTCTATCACATGTGAAACTAATGCTCATGACTTGGTTTTATTCTTGGTTGTTTGTTTAATCCCTAGGTGAATATAATACCTTGTGTCCCGGAGGCGAAGGCTTCAGACCAAATCCCATAACAATTATCTTAGAAGGTATTTTTATTTCTTTCAGTACATGGGTTTTGCTGACAGTAGTTAGATGTAGTAAAATATCTCTAAAAGAGGGATTTACAAATTGAAGTTAGAGAGAAAGTACTTTCAAATTTAGAATAAATTTACAATAACATTTTAAAATATAGATGGGAAAATTGATAAAAATTAGTTCATGATGATAATTCAATCATCTCCATTTATATAAGTTTTCCACCAATTCACAATTTCCTTTTGGAATGCCGAGGTCCTCAGAATTTGATTTGGCAGGTCTTACTCTTAAAAAGGAATAAAGATGGTAATATTAGTTGCCCAAATTTTATTACTTTTGATATCTCTAAAGAATTTCCATCATCACTTCAGAAAAAGAATAATTAGAAATATGAATTGGCAACTCTGTACTTGATTGTTAGTTCCTGCTGAAAAACAAAAAAAAGACTGAAAATGAAAAGTTACTGAATATGTATTAAAATATACTGCAAAAAATCTAAGATTGGTTAAATCAAATCAATAAAGCCAGAAATTAATAGAAAGTATGATTTAATTGTAATGATTTTGGTAGGAGAATCAAATGTGCTCAGTATTTTAATGTTGTACTTAATATTTTTCCATCTAAAATTTATGAGAGTTAAATACTCTCTTAACTTTGCATGGGTAATCGTTTATTTGCAGCTTCCCCCCTCCCTCCCAGATTTCTGTAATAACAAAGTAAGCAGATTTATAATCAAAACTAAAAGCATAAGTTAATGATTTAAAAGTAGTCTTTCATGTAATTTTTATCAGCCAAAAAACATGACCTTTTTCTTTGCAGACATTGATGAATGCCAAGAACTGCCTGGTCTATGCCAAGGTGGAAACTGCATCAATACTTTTGGCAGCTTCCAATGTGAATGTCCTCATGGGTACTATCTCAGTGAAGAAACACGTATCTGTGAAGGTGAAAAGTCTTAATTTTCCTTACAGCAGGAATGGAAAAACAATATTCTAAAGCAATATTTTGTCCCACAACCTCTTGAGAATATTCTATATGTATTTAATGTGGAGTCATAAATTAAAGCTTGTGGGTTCCATTACTGGAACTGTAGATTCCATTACAGAATTTCTTATAAATAATAGAAATTGAATTCTGACTTCTTTGAATCCTGATTAACCCAAATAATCCAATGGGACACAAATTCTGTCCTTTCCCACAAAATTCCTTCAAGAATAGGTTCAAGCAATAAGTTCAAAAATGTATTTAGATCACTGTATTACACAAAGAAAGAGACAGACCTCCCCAGAGTTACTTTTCACCCAGATTCACAGTTTCAACACCTGTCCCCCTGTGGACACATGGTTACATTTAGGGCACTTGGTAACTAGTCTCATTTACAGCCATTTGCAGTGTCCTATGGCCACATGACCATGATTTATAACATTTTTAATTGAAATTGATATTTATTGGTTAGCTAGTTTTCAGCAAAAAATGCCATTGCAGACAATAGAATCACTTAACAAATGTAGCATTCACTTAACATGTCAAGTCATATGATGAGCTGCTTAAAGATTCTAGGCTCAATTATGGTCGTAAATTAGGACTACCTGTGAGGGAAAGGATAACTTATATTCTGAGTCAATGTTTTTCCAACCACATATCTGTCAGGTTCACATAGTGATTTTCAGTGAGAATGTAGTATAGGAAAAACATTGTACTATGATGTACTTTGTGGATCATTTAGAAAGGTGAGTAAAATTTCAAACACAGGATTAAGAGATCCATTATTTGTACCTTGAGAACTTTGTAATAGAGTATGAAAGTTTTCATTTCTTCAATCTATTCTATGTTTAAATTGCTGGTTTGTTATTGTCATTTTTACTTATTAAAATTAAAAATTAATTTTGGTGGTTGATTTCCCCCCCCCCCCCCCCCCCCCAAGATATTGATGAGTGTGTTGCACATCCTGGTGTATGTGGTCCTGGGACATGCTATAACACCTTAGGAAATTATACCTGTATTTGCCCCCCGGAATATATGCAGGTGAATGGAGGACACAACTGTATGGGTATGTTTTCACATTTATGTACTATATTTACTTTCTTAAACTCTTAAAACGTAGGGCCAGTTTACACTGATAATTATTTCTATGCATTATTTTTTAATTTTATCTTATTTATGTCCCACCATTATTATTATTATTATTATTGAACAGATTTTATTAATTTTTAAAGACATACAAAACATAAAACATAAGAACATAAAACCTCTTTTCTGAAAGTTATTTGTAAATTTAAACAAATAAAACATTTTATACATCATTAACACATCTCCTTATAAACATAAATATCCTTTCAAATTCCTCATTATTTCTCCCTATACTTTTATTCACTTATATTTCTTTTCTATATTTATCTATTTTATATGTTTTTATTCACTATACTTATTTTCCCTTTCTGGCTTGCTTTATTCTCTTCTATCTTTTATTCTCCATTGTCCTTTTCTAACATTCCTCCAAGATTTTATTAGCTCAATCAATCATAAACACACAAAAACACAAAACATAGAAACATAAAAAAAAAACCACTCTTTTCTGAAAGTTGCTTAGTCCCGGGTTAAAACTCTTCGTATAGACACAAATTCAAATTCATATTCATTTTATATACCATTCCATATCTTATTAGCATTTTCAATTTTCTATATAGCTTCTCCTCTCTTTTAAATTTTCTTAATTTTATTTTATTTATCTCATCTCAATTCAAATCATAATATTTATTATTCTTTGTCTGTTCTATTTCCAGCTATCCATTTATCTTTCTTCTTTGAAAAAAACTTCTCCTGTACACTAATTGGAGTATGACGTCTTTATCTCTTTCCCCTACATTTATAATACTTAATATAGAATACATAGCTTACATTGGGATTCTGTTTGGTACATTCTAAAATTATACAATATTATCAATACCAATACAAATCTATTCATTAATATTAATATTCATTTATATCTTAAACACTTAGCACATTACTTTTCAATTAAATCGCATACTTTTATGGGAGCACCTACTTTCCATAGTTATCCCCCCCCGCCAACATCACATATTTTAAATCATTATTTCATTAGAATGTTCCCCCTTCTCCTACTCCAAATCTCTCATTTCACAAAAAAATTCACTAGGGTAACATAGTCTAATCATTAATATTAACAATCATTTATATCTTAAACATTTTACCCATTTCAGTTAAATATCATGCCTTTATGGGAACACTTATACTTTCCATATTATTCCCCCCCCCCCACATCACATATCTTAAATCATTGTTTCATTAAAGTGTTCCCCTTTTCCTAACAAAAATTTCACTAAATTATACTAAATATTTTATCACATTTTAAATTGCATATTGTTTCCAATTTTCTATGATTATTTCTAAGTACAAATGTAAAAATACAATCTTGTGTACCTTTCCAGAATCCCTTTTTCAATAAATTTTACCCATTATCTCTAAAAGACTTTTGTTTCTTTGCATCTTGCTCCCCACCATTGAGGCTTCTCGTCCCTTCCTTTCTCCCTTGCTTATTCTTCTCCTTGTCCTCTTTACCCCCTTGTCTCTCCACCTCCCTTTTATTCTGCTTTTCTCCTTTCTGTTGTTTTCTAGCATAGTATCCCCTTTTCACCTTATTCTTCTCTTTTTTGGTTATTTTTCCAAGTCTTAAAGTCTTCTTTTACTTTTTCTCTTTCTCCTTTCCTTCCCCAACCAAAGTCACTTGTTCATCAAAAATGGCTTCTCCTTTGTCCCAGCCATCCTGTTGCGCATTCAGCTTTACATAAGTACAAACCGCCATTTCTAAAAATTGAAAAACAGTGCCAAGAGAATCCTTCCCTTCTTGCTTTTCTTTTTCATATTTTTGGTATACAAGTTTCAATCCAACCACAAGTGATGCCATTGTAGAGAGAAAAAGTTTTTCCAAACAACCACCCAAGTGCTTTTAATCAGAGATAATTCTCAGAAGTTCCAAAATCACCAAACAATCCAAACAAGCTGTTTCTTTTAAATACTTTCTCCTTCTTCACTTTCTCTTTCTGGGGTTAAAGTTTAGTCACAAAGTTCCATTTAAAATATATCTTTTAGAAGTCTTATTAATGTTTAATAACTCTTTAGAGTTCTAGGCAGTCTTCTCCTTATTTTCAAGCTCTGCTCCAATTTTTTTTCCCTCTCCCTTCCCACTCACAGCAAAAAAGATTCTTTTTTTAAAAAAAAAAATGTTCAAAAATCCTTATCCCTTCAGCATTTAATTACCTCCAATGCAGGTTTTCCGATTTCTCTTATGGTTCCATCCGCTGTCACGTTAGGAAGGAGAGTGAAAAGAAAAAAAACACTTTCCCTTTTAGAGTTCCATTCGCCACTTGTAACTCTCTGGAAACAATGTATTTTTAGCAACTTTCAAAATTCCAGGGTACTTTCACTTGCTTTGTCCCGGTCAAAAACCACTTTCACAGCTCTTCCAACTTTCTTCCTCCTGCACAATCTTGTCCGGCTGCAGGTTTCTTCGTGGCGGCCATTGCTGACCGCCACTCCTCCGCCTTGGGAAAAGGGGGTTTTGCCGGCTGGGGAGGGGGTCTGCGACACCCCCAAACCCCTATCCGGATCCCCCCTGTCTTCAGCTGCCTCTACGGGGCAGCTATATCCCCCAAATCCAAACGGATCGGGGGAACCTTGGCAGCGAGCGCAGCAGGGATCGTGCAGTATCGCGAATCCCTGCCGCCGCCGAAGCCTTGCAAACCGGAAGTCCCCCACCATTATTATTTTTTATAAACAACTCAAGAAGGTGAATGTATGTTGTATATGAAGACTATAAGTATGGTTTGCATCAAAGCAAAACATTTATATAGAAGCATCACATGGAAAATCTTATTTAAGGCAAGATTTCAGAAGTGGTTAGCCTGTTTCCTCAGGCTGACAGAGCTAACTAGTTCATGGTCACAGGCAAGATTAGAACCATGGTTTCCTTGTGTAGTAAAGGTATATATATATATATAGTAAAGGTTTTATATATTTTATAGTATTATTCATATTTATTATTAATTGGTGTGCCAACGTATACGTGCACATACAGGCCCAAACTACACATCAGCTTTAGATATTCTACTTATAAATTAAACCAAACTAAAAACATTCTATACTTCCTTCTGTCCAAATTACTTTTGAAACAATGAGTATTGGAAAAATATGTTTAAAGTAGAGTCAATAATATAAGCTGTCCAATATTAATGATGCATTCGTAATTATTTATTCCTACTTTCTTTGATTTTGTAATTATGCAAAATTTTGGAGCTTGATCAGGTCAGATGGATCCAATATAAAAAGAAAAGTTACATGAATCTCAGCTTTCTTAATCGTGTTTTTCTTCGAGAAACTAAAAACAAAAATTAACCAGTTTCCTACTTATCCTGTTCTTTTCCTCATCCACTTTAATAAATAATGGGATATAAATATGGCTGACCTATTTTCAGCTCTGTTTCATATAAAACTGAGCTTTCTTAGGTCAAAATATCTTAGCATGATAAATACTGAACCAAACATATATCGTACTCGCCAAGATATTTTTAAAAGTATGTAATTTTTATATATTTAGATATGAGAAAGAGCTTTTGTTATAGAAGCTACAATGGGACATCTTGTGATAATGAACTTCCCTTTAATATTACCAAGAGAATGTGTTGTTGCACTTATAATGTTGGGAAAGCCTGGAACAAGCTGTGTGAGCCATGCCCAGCTCCAGGGACAGGTAACAATTTATTTAAATTTTCTTGAGCAATTTATATTTAAATGATACATTTGAATGTCAGATTGGTATCATGGTAGCTTTAGCATGTTAGCCTCACTTTCAATTTCGCAACAAGGAGGAAAGTAAATTTTAAAACTTTTTTCTCTCTCCCCAGTATTGTGTTTTGTTCCATGTGCAATTAAACTTGTTAAAAATAAAAGTTCTAATACTTAGATAGCAGTGAAAGAAGGCTGCCCTCCTTCAGTTATTTATTTAATTATTTGTTTGTTAAATTTATTTGCTTGTTTATCTCGCCGTGAGGCTATTCTAGGCAGTTTACAACAGTAAAAACAGAAATGAAAAGCAGTGTAAACCAAATAGTAGCAAAATAATGAAACAATAGAATAAACAATAAAAATACAGTACTATGAGATTAACAGGTGGGTGGATGGGTAAGGTGGGGAAATTAGTAGCCACCTCCAGTGTGGTACAGCCCCATTAGATCCTCAGGCCAATTGGTAGAGACAGATTTCTTGAAGAAGGATAGGAGGATAGAGACAGATCTTACTGTGGGAAAGTAGGATATTCCAGAGAACAGGATTAACGTTTACCTCCCCATTGCTGCATTTTGATAGGAAAACTGAATAATTCAAAAGGTAGGATTTCACAATTACCATCTCCTTCTACAATCCTATCTTGCAGTGCCTAATCAGTAGTTAATAACTGAATTGTTTTGGCTGAAGGAAATATTCCTATATCGAAGACAGAAGTTTATAATGCAGTATTTTCTTCAGAATTACTGATTTTTATATTTCCTTTCCTAGTGATTCTGGTGTTTCTTTTACTAACCCAAGGCAGGAAAGTACTAGATTAGTGATATGAAACAACTATTTTTTTAAAAAAATAGTGAAATATAATTGTACTACTTTTTAAAATAATGGTATATTTGTCCAAGTCTTGCAGTGAATTTTATTTATTTTCTACAGTATGCATGTTCTTTTCTAGCATATTAAATATGTTATTTTAGTTAACTTGGGGAATACTGTCTTTGTTAGTGTTTGTAACAAATAAAATACATCATTTTAATAATAAAAAGAATTATAAGTGGCTTGAACAAAGATAAGGAATAAAATATTATACAGATGTGAATTTGACATATCATAAGAATAATATGGAAATCCTCTGCAGTGGTTTTATGAGATAATATATTGTGCAAACATAATTCTTTAAAATTAGTTATAATTTAATAAATACAATATACATATACAATCAGAAGGGTTATGTCTTTGTAGGCTTTATTCATATATATGGAACATCACAAATCTCAAAAATAAGGGTGATTTTTCTCTTTGGATTATTCTGGAAGTAATCTCAGTTTCTCCTCATACCAAATAACTCAGACATTTTTTTTCAAGTTAGTTCAAAACAGATAAATGCCATACAATAGCAAGAAAAGAACAGGAAAAAACTTTCAGTCTAGAGAAGAACTTGAGAATTAAAGATGAGCTTTTATTTGATAAGAGTTTCTACAGGTCTCTGGAATATATAGGCTTGGCTCAAGAGAATTTTGATACCAGTTGATAGTTATTAATTAAATACAAGGATTGTAAAATAAAACTATGACGTAATTTTAAAAGACTTGCAATAAATATAAGCTTTTCCCCTTTTTGTTACTTAAGTTGAATTCAGAACGTTATGTGGAAATATCCCTGGTTTTACCTTTGACATTCATACTGGAAAAGCAGTTGGTAAGTCTGAAAGCTGTGTGTTTTTTAAACTACAATTAATAACGTAAGAGACTGATAAGCAAACCTCTTCTATTTTTAATTATCTTTTAAAAATCAAGTCAATAATAAAATTCTGACTTTTGTTGCTTGCTGTTTTGGAAATTGCAATGTTTTCTCAAGAATCTCTCCCCAAATTATATTTTGAAGATAACCTGAAACTCATTCTGATATTTACATATATAGATATGCATGTATCTGTCAGCTTAGCATCCCTCATTAAAATGAGTCACTCATTTGCAATAAAATACACCAATACATTAATGAATGTTCATTTTTCAGATATTGATGAATGTAAAGAGATTCCAGGTATTTGTGCAAATGGTGTTTGCATCAACCAGATTGGAAGTTTTCGTTGTGAATGCCCCACAGGATTTAGCTACAATGATCTGCTCTTGGTCTGCGAAGGTGATGTACTTTCTTATATAGCCTGACCATTACAGCAATTGTATGTGCTTCAAGCTGGTGCAAGTGATTAGGTGTATGCATTGACAAGTGTATGCAGATTTTATACACTTGCATTGTCAAATTACCATTATCTCACAATCATTCTACTGTGTTTGAGTGGGCCAGAAAAAATGCACAAGATGAAATACTTGTGGAATGATAGTGCATATGCCTTCATAGTTTGGAACTTTGTGAATGTTTCCTTAAAACAGTCCAATTGTTAAAATATATAAGAATGTTAATGTTTGTTGAAAAGATAAAAGGAAGCTTGTCTTTTAAAAATAGATTTTGTTTGATTTCGTTTCATTGAATATTTGGCTTGGTTTGTGCAGGAATATTAGTCTTCAGATTGTTAAGTTTTAAACTTTATAAGTTACTATTCTTTTCCTAATGTATAATGACAGTCTGTATTTTGTCTTATTTCACAAGGTGATGTTTATCTTGTTAATTTGATATCCTACTTGGGGGGAAAAGAGGATAATGACGTGCTTTATAAGCATCAATGTTACTTATGAAATGTTATGTTAATTTTCCTATTGTTTGCTATATTATAAGCAAAATGATATATTTATTCAATAATTTTAATACTGATAATCTATTACTATTTGTTTTTATTTATTAACAAGCAAATTAAAATATTTATGTCTTAATAGCATACAGGTACTGTAAAATACTAAGCAGATAGATTGATCTGAAATGTATTTAGGTTTTAGATTTTAGCTGGAATGTACAATACATGTTTACAATTGTTTGATTAAAATTAATGGAATATAAACATGCTTTACCTGATTCATATTCACTGTTCCTTGTTCAATATAGAAAATATCTGAAAGTTTCATTGCGATAAAACACATATCTTGATTCTTAATAATGGATTATTGATGTTACAGATATTGATGAATGTAGCAATGGTGATAATCTCTGTCAAAGAAATGCAGATTGCATCAATAGCCCCGGTAGTTACCGCTGTGAGTGTGCTACAGGTTTCAAACTTTCACCCAATGGTGCTTGCATTGGTAAGGAGTCAGTTATGGTCAGCATGTTGCTTAATTTTCATTTTACATATTTTCCAGTTTTCTATACTGAATTTGCATTTAATTCACCCTTTTTTAAATTCATAAACAGAAAAATGTAGTAGGGAAATTGGTGATGTAATTTCCTTCAATATAGCTAATACGTTGATTTTAACATGCACAGAAAATAAAGCTTGTTCAAAGATTGTTGATTCCGAGAATAGAGCTTTTTCATAGAACAATTTTGACAAGGGAGTAGGCTTTGACTCTAATAGTCATTAACAGATTCTAAAAGTGGAATTATGAATCATAGATAAATCATAACACCATAGATAAATATATGCATCATGTGTTTTATGTTTTGTTTTAGATCGCAATGAATGCCAGGAAATACCTAATGTATGTAGTCATGGCACATGTGTGGATAAAGAGGGGAGTTACTACTGTATCTGTCAAAATGGTTTTAAGGCATCCCGTGATCAAACAATGTGCATGGGTATGTGAATAAATATATAAAATTCTTAAATAAATCTAGAGTATTGTGATGCTGAAGATAGGATGGCAACAGTAGAGTATAATAGAGAAGTATAAGTTTTATATGCACAGATAAAATGTAATAATTAATGTAATAATGAAATATGCCAAGCTTTGTTACTTATCAGAGGTGTGAAGATTACAACTGTCAGGATTCTCAGATAGACAAATATTGGTTAAGACTGTATTATATGAATAAAATCAAATAACACTATTGGTACTGAACATTGATCGGCATGAGAAGATCAGTAAATTGATAATACTCAGTTTCACTTTCTGATGTAACTATGAATCCAGCTGAAATTGTCATAGTCTTTGGAGGATTTAAGAGAGAAAGAATGGGCTTATCCTCAATTCCTACAAGCTATAATGGCTATGGATGCAAAAATTAATACTGTAGTTTCTAATAGCATTTCTTCTTTAGTCCTGGGTGATTTTGTATTCCCTCATATGAAGCAACTAGGCAGTTATTCTTGGTCTCATGATTCCTGCTAAAAGAGTGGATGGAGACCTTGACCATCGCACAGCCTCATATTGTACACAGGGGTAGGATTCAAATTTTTTAACAACCAGTTCTGTGGGTGTGGCTTGGTGATCATGTAACTGGGTGGGTGTGGCCAACTCAACATCACTCAAGTCAAGGGGTGCTTCTACTCACCTGGCCTCATGACGGTGGGGATGCTGCAGCGGTCATAAGTGTGAAAAGTGGTCATAAGTCACTTTTTTCAGTGCCATTGTAACTTTGAATGGTCACTAAATGAACTGTTGTAAGTCAAGGATTACCTGTACAAAAATACAAAAAGCTTCTTTGCTTGCAAAAAGCTGCTCCAAATTCCAATCATTAGATTAAAAATACCTGCAAGCTGGAGACAAATCAGGAAGGGTGCCAGAGCACCTTGAGGAATTAAAATAGTTAAAATACAATGATAACTATCAGCAGCCAACTCTTGCACATAAAGTGCATAAAGTTTAGCAGAGAGGTCATTTAAGCTCTCCAGAAAGAGCACACCCAGGAAAAGCAATCCTTAGATCCATTTGCACTACTTAAAGATACCAGCTGGACTCAGTCATCTCACAAGATATCCTAAGGAAATTATCCAGATTTAAGGAAAGGTGACATGCCCCCCAGAAAGGCAGTAAAAAAATCAGTGCCAAGCTTGCATCCTGCCTCTTGGAAGTATACCCCAAAAGGACAGTGCCAGATACCACTAAAGCAGTGAAGGAAGACCCCCTCCCCAGATAGAAAAAGAAACCATGAGGCAGGAAAAAATTCAAACACAATACAAAGAATTAAATCACAACAGTAGCTGTTGCTTGTTAAACCAATTACCAGAACAATAAACACAGGAACTAGTCAGATTTTTCACACCAGTTTCTTTTCAGGAATAGAGATTAATCTTTTTCTTTCCGAACAAAGATGAATAGGGAAAATTATCCCATCAATAAACACAGGATTAAACTCACCAAGCACAGAATTAAACTTCACCAAAAACCAGTTTTAGACCAAAACTCAGAAAGGGTATGTAAACTCACATTTGAATGTCAATCTTTCTAGCTAGCCAAGAAGTATTTCCAGGGGAGTATTTCCTCCCAATACCAGTGTAAAAAGCTTAAAACAACCCTTCCCCTTTAAGAAAGTATCAAGAAAAAACAACCCTCTTTCAGAGACAGTAAGTCTAGGCATACTGCCAAGTATGTAATAAGGGTGGAAAAAAACAAAAGGAGATTTCTTCTAATTACAGGTTCTCCGAACTGCTTAGAAAGTTAACAAGGGGTCCTATAGAACCGGTCAGAACCGGTAAAACCCCATCCCTGATTGTACACCAACTGCAACCATTCTTTCACAGAGAAATTTTGCAAAAGACTATATTTTACATCAAGACTAGTGCATGAGGCTATCCTTGAAGACCATTCAGAAGGTATTCTCATTCAGAATGCAACAAGTTGAGTAGTCATTGGTGTATCATGGTTGGCTCATACGACTCCACTAGTTAAGGAATATAAATAAATAGGGTAATAATTAGGGAATAAATATAAAATGGCAAACAGTGACCAGGCACACTAATAAAAAGAATCACAAGGAAGTCCACTCAATTTCATCCAACATTTTGGGGAAAAGTCATGTTTTAACAGCTTTCCTAAAGGTGATCAGAGCCTGTTACTGAAAGGGGAGTAAGATAATCCCAAAACACAGAGTCACCCACCAATAAGATAAGTTTATTATATCCCATAACATAGCAAAGCTTAAAAAAGGGAAACTGGACCCTACCCTTCTCATGAAAGAGTATAGGTCGGGTTCTTGGGAGAAAACAGTATTGCAAGTAACTCAGTCCTTTGCCACGTAGGACTTTAAAAGTGATAGCACAGCTTACAGAGCAGCAGTGTTACATGGATATAATGAGCTATGCCACCATGTGCCACTGCACTCTGAACCAACTAAAACTTTCAGATAGTCTTCAAGGGCAGCTGCACATAGAGCATGTTACAGTAATCCAATCAAAAAACAACTAAGTATGGGCTCCCAGGCTAGGAACAGATGTAACTGGCACATAAGATATACTTGTGGAAAGGACCCCCTAGCCATAATTGCCACATGCTCTCTGAGAAGTCCCAGATTGCACACAAGTCTGAATAGGACACCACCACTCCATTCAGAACCAAAGTTGGAAATACTGTACGTACCAGATCCAGGGGATCCAAATCATTCAGTCTTAGAAGGCTTCAGCATTTGTTGAGTCACTGATACTACCCTAAGAAGCATACTGGTAGATGATTCTACAGCCAGAAATCCAGAAATTGGAAACCTTCCAAATGTACTGTCCTATAGGATCCTGATATCCCATTGATAGACCACATAATAAATGACACTATCTGTCAGCAATGTTGCAATTAGCCAGCAATAGCAGTTGAAATCCAAAAATGGCAGCTGAGATCATTGCTCCCCATAAGTACCCATAAACTACTCTGAAAGACATGACATCACAGAAAGTTCAGACAAGAGACTCTACATAACACACATATTAATAAAGGCATAAGGCAAATAAAAATATGCAGTTAATACAGCCTATTTATACAGAAGATTTGAATCAAGCTAAAACCTCAGTGAAGTACAAAGCATCGTAGCAAGGCTGATCAAGGATAGATTCAACCTAGAAATAAGGAGAAATTCAGAAGCTGTGGGAGTTTCATCACTGCAGGCTTTCAAGAAGAGATTGGACTGCTATTTGTCAGAAATGGTGCAGGCCTCCTGCTTGGGTGGAGGTTGGACTAGATGACCTACAAGATCCTTTTCAACTCTGTTAATCTGTATTCTGTAAATCTGTAAAAATCTATAGCCCTACAGTTCATAATACTAGGGTAATCCAGTTCAAATTTAAAGCCTTGATGGCTGAGGACTTGGATATCTGTAGGACCAATATCTGCTTGCCCAGTAAGACTAAGCAAAAAAGTCTTGCTGTGGGGCCCAACTCTTAGAGAATGTGACTATCAGCTTTATGATTGCATGAATAGCATACCCATGGAAATAAGGATGACTTCTTTGATAGCTACTATTTCAGAATAGTATTTAAAGCGTGGATGTTCTACAAGACTTTTGGGGATATATGGTTTTTTAATTGCTCCTGAGGTATAAGATACTTGTTCTATTAATGAGCATAGTTATATGACAAATTATGATAATCATGATTGTTGCTATAGTTTTGTTGTTCATTTATTAGTTTTTAACCCAAAACTGTAATGAGATCTGTAAGCTGCCCAGAGTAGTTTTCTGAGAGCCATATAAACTTAGTAAAACACATAAAGAAATAGAAAATTGATTGTACCGTGAATAATTTTTTGGTATTAATGTTTTCCATCTATAGATGTAGATGAATGTGAAAGACATCCTTGTGGGAATGGAACTTGTAAAAATACAGTTGGATCATATAACTGCCTCTGCTATCCAGGATTTGAGCTAACACATAATAATGACTGTATGGGTAAGAGAATGAATAAATAGTACATATCATTTAGAAAAAGTGATGATATATTACATTCAAAGAGAAACATGGAAATGATATAATATTTATTTCAGTCATGCAATCATTAAAAATACAATCTTTTAATTTCATAAATTTCATTGAGCAGTGTAATTATAATTATACTTTTAACTAATCAGAATTTGCATCAGTTTTCGTTTATTTCTCAGTTATTTCTTTGTTGTTGTTTTACATGGCCTATTGTTATATTTCAATTCTATCAGTTTGTAGTCAAACAAAGCTCTTGATAAGAATGGTAGAAAATATGAGGACATTCTACCAACATTTCTTATGAGTCAAACTGATGTAAGTCAAACACAGAAGATCTTTAGTTGGCTCACACTTGAAATAACAAATATTCTATTTCTTTCCAAAATGTTTTTTTCTGGATTTGGAGTTTTACTTGTAATCAAATACAAATAAGTCTACTTAATGGGAGGGGGGCAAATTATCCAAGAATGTGGTTGCTAAGCAGTTGTAGTCTGGATTTAGACAGATTTGAGAATAAAATTGGCCCTAATTGCCTGATAGATTTCCTTTTGTTGGAGAGAAATAGAAGGAGTGCAATGCTGATCCTGCTTGAACTTTTAGCACTAAGCACAAAATCTTTGGAATCATTTCTGTGGTGGAGATTGTGATGTTTTACCATGGATGGTTTCAGAGAGTAGAATTACATGGTTGTACTTCTGGCATCTCTATTGTAGAATTCCACAGAGTACTATCTCCACTATTGAGTTACAGTGTTAACCTCTTTTTCATATATCAACATAAACTATATTTGTACTCCCCATTGCCAGTGAGGCCCTGTCTCTGTTGCATCTATTTAATATCACTGCCAAACTGAGATGTCTTGGTTTGTAGGTGTGCCAGGTAGCTAGACAAGGTGATTGTGCTTATCCTCTGATTTGCTGCCATATCCCTCCAGCTTATTCCCAGCCGGCAGTTAAAATATCAACCAGAGTATAATAGTGCTATCCATTTGCTCAACCAATGCCTCCCCGCAAATTGGAAGATTTTCTTTCTTCTGCTAAACTGAAACACTCTTCTCATTTTCCATTATCCAATAGGTGAATATGAATAGACTGTTTCAATTCAATTTAACTCTTCCTGTACCCAGAGTTTTCTTGAATTGGATAACGTACCTGATGCTGGTTATTAGGGCTATGTACAAAGACTTGAAAAATTCCTTTGCTTCAGTCAAAGACTTAGTCACTCCCTTTGTCATTCTCCCATAAAGTGTGGCAGCCATATTGGCTTTTGTATATGCACTAAAGATGATAAAATTTATATACAAATATTTCTGATCTTTTTGAATAGATTTCTTTGATGTATGAAATATTAAAAAATAAAGTTCTGTCTAGTAATATTTGTTCTTAAATAATCCATATATGTTAAAGTGCTCGAGAGATTAGTTTTTTATATACAAGGACCTTGAGATCGTGAGAAATCTCTAACTTTTTCTTGGTTATTTATAGATATTGATGAGTGCAGTTCCTTCTTTGGGCAGGTGTGCAGAAATGGAAGATGCTTTAATGAAATTGGTTCTTTCAAATGTTTATGTAATGAAGGTTATGAACTTACTCCAGATGGCAAAAACTGTATTGGTATGTATAAAAGCAGTTATGGAGTGCCCTATGCTACTACAATGTGTAATGCACATTTAATCAGCTGCACTGGACATTGTGGAATATACTTTTATATATATATTATAATATTCCTTCTGATTTTTAGGCACCACACAAGAACTGTGTATTTTATTTATGTGTTGATTTAAATTTATTGGCTGCTCAACATTTAGCTATTTGGGATGCAGATTTGAAGTAGCTTAATTTCTGTAGGATATATATGCCATTAAATTTCCATGCAAGAGATTTGATTATGCACTATCTTAAGGGGCTGCTTTTAACATTAGATATACTTTTTTCACCTGCAGATTTAACAGTTCTTTCAGCTATGACTCTTTCTAAGATGAACCTACTATAAAAGAATTCAGTGAATTAGTGATAGAAATTGGGAGAAGTTCGATGAATTTGTGTACAATTGGCTATTGTGCCTATATATTTTATGGTGCAGCAGTAAAAATACTGAACTATGACTAGAAATTAACATTTATCCATATCTATGAGACCCATTAAGTGATTATGGGACAGTTCAGCTATATCTATTTATGCTTCTGTTATGGACAAATAATGAATCTTGCTTTCTAGGATGACAGACAGAATATAAATTTAAGAAATAAATTCAACTCAGAATCCTTAAATTGCCACTTTTTCCCCTCCATTCTATTGAGATATTAATGAGTGTGTAGTGCTACCTGGCTCTTGCTTTCCTGGGACATGTCAGAATTTGGAAGGATCATTCAGATGTATCTGCCCACCAGGATATGAAGTAAAAAGTGAAAGCTGCATTGGTAAGGCCGCCTTTTCTCTCTGGAGACGGTTTGCATGGTAACAAAGCTGTTTATGGAAATAAAATTTAAGTATTGTACTATACACACAGACGTGTGTGTATGTGTGTATGTGATTGTTCTGTGATACCAGGAACATACTGATCTTCATGTTTAAGTAACATGATCTTTCAGATGTTACTCCCATGCTGAATAAATCTTATGGAAATTGTAGTCAGCAAACCTTGGATCATCACAAATTTCCTGTTTGGTCTGTACTCGCATTATTTACAAGTGACTTGTTTTTTGATGGTGACTTTTTGCAACTCAGGAGGTTGTAACTACGAATTTTATAAACCTATACGTGTGAGATGGTTGCTATTTTTATATCCAGCAAAAAGTGCCTTTGTTAATTATCTTTCAAAACAGTATTTGAAGCAAACAAATAAAAACAAAATGTTTTTAATCTAAGATACATGTGATATTAAAATTTCATTTAACATATGGTACCTTGACAATTACAACATTTTCCAGCCACTCTCTGGCACAAAGGGTTTCAATAAGAAAATATTTAATGTTTTAATTATATTTTCAGATATTGATGAATGTAATGAGGATCCTAACATCTGCCTGTTTGGATCCTGCACTAATACTCCAGGAGGATTTCAGTGCATCTGCCCTCCAGGTTTTGTAATATCTGACAATGGCAGGAGATGTTTTGGTAAGTATATTGTTTATAACAGGTAATAATAAATAAACTCAAATAATATGAGTGATTAAATTAACAACAATATGGAATCTTGATTCTTATTGAATAAGACCATTTCTATCTCCCCTTACTATTTTAAAATTTTGATAAGAGTAGTTAAAAGGATCATTAAAATAACCAAATATATAGTTATGAAGAGGAAGCGTAACAAATTCAACTGTCGTGCCCTTTTAAAAATTAAGCAAATAAGCATTTAAAATAAATCTCAGCAGGTTTCATAATATAGGGTTGGATAAAAAAAGTAATTGTTACTAATTAAGTATGTACTAATTAACTGTAATTAGGACTAAAGTTAATTGTGATTAGTGCAAATTATTATCTATTATTATCTATTATTATTATCTATGCTAGGGCTTGATCAAAAACATGGCAATGTATGGCGAATTACTATTTCCTATTGATGAAAAGAGTCTTAAATTGGAATATTTCCAAGTAAGAAGCCTGGATTAATTCTTTCTTAATATGGGATTAATTACAGTGGTATGACTTTTGCTTTCTCTCAGATACTCGACAGAGCTTCTGTTTCACTAACTTTGAGAATGGGAAGTGCTCTGTGCCAAAAGCATTTAATACCACCAAGGCAAAATGTTGTTGCAGCAAGATGCCAGGAGAAGGTTGGGGTGATCCATGTGAACTGTGTCCTAAAGAAGAAGAAGGTAGTAAAAACATTGCAAAGCTTTTCAAGAAAAGCAAAAAATGAAACGTGAAGCCAATATATAGTGACTCCATTTATAAAACCACATCCTAAATTAAAATACTGGATCTCACTCATCAAGTCATCATATGAAATTGGAAGTAGAAAAACATGAGTTGGAACCTATCATAAAAAAACTGTCTTCATCTGTTTTTATTAACATCTTATACTAGATCCTGAGTAGTATTACAGCTATAATTACTGATTACATTTTGAACGTACTCTCTGTTTAGTTGAATTCCTTATATAAAAGCAATTGGAAAATTTGTTGAAAAATTTAACTCACAGTAAAGAGTTTAAAATATTGCTTTGTATATTCTCTCCTTAGTAGTGGTGTTTCAAAAATTTTCTTTAACAGTTGCTTTTCAGGATCTGTGCCCATTTGGCCATGGAACAATACCTGGAATAGATGATACACGAGAAGGTACTAATTTCTTTCATTACCACTCCACTAAATATCACTATTCACCTCTTGTATAATAAACAAAATTGGGTATTGGATGGAACTCTTTTAAAATATTATGTGTATACTTAACTGAGGGAAGTGAACATAAATTTTATTTCAAGAAAGCTTCTCTGCCTCTTAAGTGCAGAATTATTATAAGGTAGTACAATGTTGTTTAGTATTACTATAGCTAATGCTGGATTATATCATTCATAAATAAATTGTTATATCCCATTTATTGTATTAAAAATTAAAGTTGCTTAATATAAAATCAAAGTCTAATAAAATGTATAAAACAAATTTAATAAATACTTAAATATATATATACTGTGTTTCTCACAAAATAACGCCAGGCCTTATTTTTTTTTGACCCCCCAAAAAACGGCTAGGCTGTCTTTTGGGGGGTGACTTAATTCCCCCCCACTTGCATCCTCGGGCGGGTGGGTGGCGACGACTTGGATGTTGACCTCGGCGTTGGTGGGGCACTTTGTATCGGGAAACCTTCCGCCACCGTTGCTTTCTCTTCTCCCCATGCTGCCGCGGCGTTTAGAACAACGCCGCGGCATTTGGCGCAGCCATGCGCAGCCAGCCAGGGCTCCTTCCTGCAACCAGAGCCCAGGGGAAATACTCGGCTTCAGGCGCTCCTGTTGCCGCCTTCCCTTCGCCTTCAAAGGCAAAGCCAATTCTTTTAAAAACGATGCCCTACTACCGGTATGACAAAGACTCCCCTGCCCGAGACGGCAGCCCAACCCCACGTGGGGAGGCGAATCTCCCGGGGCCGCAGTGCAGGATCGGCCCACCCTGGGAGAAACACCAGCCACCATCCCTGCCTGGCGCCGGGCAGAGCGCAAAGAGCTTTGCCTGGGGTGCCCAGAGCAGCTGACAGGTGGGCCCTCCTGCCCGGTGGCGGAGCTCTTGCCAAGGCAGCGAGCGCCTCCCTGCCGGACCCTCCGCTCATCCTGCCAGAGCCATGCAGGCTGGGCAGAGCTGGGAAAGCGAGCTGCGGGTGCGTGCCCACCTGCTAAGCAAAAGAGCCGGACCGACCCAAGCTTGGCTTCCTTCCGAAGTCCCTCCAGCCTGAACCCGAAGGGGCCACCGGGAGAGACACCTGAGGCAGTTATAGCGCCCACCCATCCGTGGACAGGGAGGCAAGGCGATTGCCTATGCCACGTCCTCCTCCAAGCTGAGCCCCGCCGAGTGAGCTCCTCTGCCCAATGCCCATGCTGCTGCAGCGTTTGGAGCTGCCAGTGCATTTGGAGATGCGTGGGGATGGGCTGGGCGAGGGGTGGAAAGGACGGGTGGCTTCAGGCTTTCTCCGCCGGACTGCCGGCCAGGGAAGCAGCGCTGCTGACGCCTCGCCTCCCTGTCCGCAGACGGGTGGGCGCTATCATTGCCTCGGGCAGTCTCTCCCAGTGGCCCCTTCGGGTTTGGGCTTTGAGGGACTTCGGAAGGAAGCCAAGCTTGGGTCGGCCCGGCTCTTTTGCTTCGCAGGCGGGTGCGCACCCGCAGCTCGCTTTCCCGGCTCTGCCCAGCCTGCATGGCTCTGGCGGAGGGTCCGGCAGGGAGGCGCTCGCTGCCTTGGCGAGAGCTCCGCCACTGGGCAGGAGGGCCCGCCTGTCAGCTGTGCTGGGCACCCCAGGCGAAGCTCTTCGCCCTCTGCCCGGTGCCAGCCAGGGATGGCAGCTGGGCGCTTCTCCCAGGGTGGGCTGATCCTGCGCTGCGGCCCCGGGAGATTTGCCTCCCCACGTGGGGTTGGGCTGCTGTCTCGGGGAGTCTTTGTCGTACCGGTAGTAGGGCGTCGTTTTTAAAAGAATTGGCTTTGCCTTCGAAGGCAAAGGGAAGGCAGCGACAGGAGCGCCTGAAGCTGAGTGTCTCCGCTGGGCTCCGGTTGCAGGGAGGAGCCCTGGCTGGCCATGCATGGCTGCGCCAAACGCCACGGCATTGCTTTAAACACCGCGGCAGCACGGGGAGAAGGGAAAGCAACGGCAGAAGGTCTCCCGATACGAAGTGCCCCACCAACACCGAGGTCAACGCAGGCAGCACCATATCCGAGTATGCAACAAAAATACTTCCTAATGGCCAGCCCCCCCCCGCCATTCCCCCCCCAGTTTGCATTTTTAATATAGGCCTTAATTTGGGGGGAGGGGCTTAATTTAATTTTATGCCTATAAAGCATGCTGGGACTTCCTATTGGGGGAGGCCGTATTGTTGGAGAAACACGGTATATATCATTGGTCTAGTTAACATTTGATACCAAAATGCTAAACAGTTAACATTTCACATTTTAAAATATAAATCTATAAAAATACTGCACCAAAAGTTAGCTAATCACATGTACATCCTGTGTTAACATCCAATCAAATTTAAAATATTTCCAACAATGTCTAATGAGAATAAATCTGGCAAATCCCTGAAAGGATATTTTTTATGCTCTGGAAATTACTTTATGAATAAAAATGTAATGAAAATGATGAGCAGATAATATATTTAAAAATGTGTGGTATATTAAAGCTTTTTTCTTTTTTACTGACTAATTTTAACAAAAAACATGAAATTCTATTATTCAGTAATGGTACACTGAAATTTTGATAGAGAATAAATATTTGAACATAACTTTTTCCTTTAGATGTCAATGAATGTCTGGAGAATCCTGGTATTTGTTCCAACGGACACTGCATAAACACTGATGGATCATTCCGTTGTGAATGTCCCTTGGGGTATAACCTTGACTACACTGGAGTGCAATGTGTAGGTGTGTGCTAATTCTATACTGCACGTTGTTTATATATTGCATGTTTTGTCACCCCTAAAGTTTATAAATTTGGCTTAAATTTCAGTTTTAAAATACTTGTTCGGCCTATTATATTTTAGATACTGATGAATGTTCCATTGGTAATCCTTGTGGAAATGGCACATGTTCCAATGTGATCGGTAGTTTTGAATGCAATTGCTTGGATGGATTTGAACCTGGGCCAATGATGAATTGTGAGGGTAAGTTAGAGTATGATTTTTATACACCTGAAGAATGTATTTCAACAGCTAGCCTGCTCCGGGTACTTATATTTAAAAGAGAAAAAGAAGAAGATAGGACTGTAGCAGGTTTCTAATTAACTGTATTGTTATAACTGCCTGGAATTAATCAATTCAGCTTCTGATGGCCAGAACCTCCACAATTTAGCAGGAACACAAATAGCAGCAATGAATCACATGCCTCTGCATTTCTGCATGTAGAATGGGCTTGAGAAAGTAAAATGTATTAATCTTCATCAGCCATAAGGCCTAGGGACTTCAGGAGACTGGTGAACTAGTGAGATCTGTCTATTATTACTAGAATAGCACTTAGAATTATATACTGCTCTACAGCCCTCTATAAGTGATTTACAAAGTCAGTATATTGCCCCCAACAATCTGGGTGCTCATTTTACCAATCTCGGTAATATGCTCTTCTGTATTTCTTTGTTCTAAATATGTTTTATTGTTTTAATGTTTTAAATAATATTGTTAGATAATAATGCTAGTTACTTTATATATTTATTAATTATTCTAGAAATAAAAAATCCATGTATGACTAATATGCTACATTTTGTTTGTTGAGAAAGTACTTCATTAAATCTTATCCCAATATCTTTCCATACATAACTGCACCACAAACAGCATTAGGAAATGTATGAAAATGATTAATTATACATTATAAGTATATTATTAAATGCAAGTGTATTATTCTGTTTTGTCTTGCTTAGATATAAATGAATGTGCACAAAATCCTTTGCTTTGTGCTTTTCGCTGTATAAATACTTATGGGTTCTATGAATGCACCTGTCCAGTGGGATATGAATTAAGAGAAGACCAGAAAATGTGCAAAGGTAAGAATCTCTTTAGCATATTGACACCTTAACAGTACTTTTGCCAATAGAATTTTATAGAACAATGTATTCTGTAAAGTTTCTGAATTTGAAGCATGACAATTTACTTTATTTTTTTTTGAAACAAATTTTATTAATTTTAAAGACAAACAAACCATCATTAACCATTGAATACATAAAACCTCTTTCCATTATAAATTTTACAAGTCGAATAAAACATTATTTTATACAACATAATTCTATTTTACACCATTTCCATATGAACATATAAATATCTCTTAGCAAATTTCTCATTATTTCTCTTTACTCTTATTCAATTTCATTATTATTATTATTTTTTCCTATATTTATCCAATTTATAGTTATCATCTTCATTTCTCTCTGACTTGGTTACCATTACTCTCATCCAACATTCCTCCAAGGTTTTATTAATTCTCACACAGACATAAACACACAAAACACAAAAACATAAAACTTCTTTCAAGAAAGTAACTTGGCCCCAGATTACCTCTCTCTATATGGACTTCAATTAAATTCATGCTCATCTTATATACCATTACCTATCTTATTTACCATTCTATATCTTCTATATAGCTTCTCCCTGCTTTCACTCTTCTTAATTCTATTTTATTTAATTCATTTTAATTTAAATCATTGTGCTTGTATCTTTTGTCCATTCTTTCCAAATTATCCATTTATCTCATTCCCTATAGTAAAAAAAAAAAAAAGAATTTCTCCTGGAATCACTAATCAGAGTATGATGCCTTTCTATCGTCCCCCTAAATTAACATTTAAAATAACGCCTAGTACCCAATCTGATTCTGCTTAGTACATTCTACCTACTAACTTTTAAAAAGAAGAAAAAATAATAAATCCAAAATGATTAAATACATAATTAGATAATAAATCTAAATATTGAATCTTGTAACATTCCAATTATCTATTTCAAAAACAAATGCTACAGTAATAAGTTTATAATAACATCAACACCATAGTCAATTAAACTCTTTAATTAAACTCAATATTCTAAATATTCCCTTTAATATTTTATTAAATTTTAAAGTCTATCATTACTAAACATTTCAATATTTTAATCTTTTATTAATTCTTATAACATTCTAATTTTCTATTTCTAATACAAATACTACAATACTATCTTATGTACCTTGCAGAATCTTCTTTTTTAAAGAAATTATACATTACCCTTTGTCCCTAAAAAAAATTCCTTTTTTCCCATCTTGTTTCAAACCTTTGTGGCTTTTTCCCCCCCTTTCCCTTCCTTTCTTATCCCACCTGACCTTTTTACCCCCCCCCTCCTAACCTCTGCCTTGTTAGCTTCCCCTCTCTGTTGTATTCCTTTTTTCTTTTGCTTTCTAACATTGTGTTGATTTTGCATCTTATTTTTCTCTTTCTTGGGTGTTTTTTTAAGTCTTAAGTCCTTCATTTTCCTTCCTCTCTTTCTCCTTTCTTTCTTAATTAAATTTTTGGATTCATTAAAGATGGCATCTTCTTCTTCTTCTTCTTCTTCTTCTTCTTCTTCTTCTTCTTCTTC